GCCGAGCCCAAGGCCAGTGCCATCCCCTCGCCCTATGACGCCTCGGCCGATGCCTTGTCCTTCCACATTCACGACCTGCTGGACAGCATCTGCCCGTCGCTGGTGGCCGTGCGTCTCTCTCTCTCTCTCTCTCTCTCTCCCTCACCCGCGCCACTGGCCTCGTTTGCCTTTCGGGGCATTTGTCACTTGCCGCTGGCTCCTGCGGTGGCCGGCATGATGGCCGGTTTTGGCTGACCCGCCCTTGTTGGCCGCTCGCTGGCAGATGTTCGTGCGATCCCACTCGACCGAGAGTGCCGGGGCCCCGGCCACGGCCGAAGACGAGGAAGACTTCCTGGACCTGGCCGACGAGTATTCGATGCTGCTGCAGAGCTTCCCCCTGTATGTCACCCTGCAGGCCATGGGCCAAAAGGACATGGTCCGGCACTTGGCCCGGTCCATGGAGGCGGTGATGCGCTTTGTGCCGAGCGACGGCGCTCCGACGGCCGCAGAATTTGGCCGAGCTGGACTCCGAGACTTCGATCCGGGCGCTTGTCGGCCAGCTGGTCGACCTCGGCGCCGCGGTCGAGGCCAGCACCAAGGTGCGTTTGCGGTGGCGGGCGGCCGCCCATGCATGCGCACGTATGCGCGCACATTTGCGCCGGTCCTTCTGGGCGGGCTTCTCACCTGCCTCTCCGCCGGGTGGCCATGCGCACATGGCCGCAGTTTGTCGAGACACATCTTGGGCAGCTGGTGCTGAAGGGCATCCGCGAGGCGGAGATGTCCATCTCCACGCACAACAACCAGCCGGGCTATGAGCCGGTGGTGCTGGCGTCGGCCGCGGCCGCGGCTGGCTTTGTGTCCGGCGTGGTGCGCGGCCTGCCCGTGGTCGGGTCTCTCTGGGGCTGGGCCGCGGACACGGCCCTGAGCGCGGCGTCCACCGCCGCCACTGCGGCCGGCATCATCGAGCCTCCCACGCCGCCGGTCGGGAGCTCCTTCTCCCTGAAGAGCGCTCGGCTGGAGTCCACCGACCAGATGGCCCGGTCGAATGGCACCAACACGCCGGTCATGGGGGACCCGGCGCCCCCGGACCCGGCGGCCTCCATGCCGGCCTCGACGCAGGCGGCCACCCCGCCCATTTCCGGTGTCGATGCTGCCGCCGGCGCGCCGTCGGCCAATCCGGCGTCGGTGCCCGGCGCGAGTGTGGCCAGGCCGTCGGCTGGCGCGGCTGCGGTCGCTGTCGCGGCCGCGACCACGGCCGCTGTCTCGGCCGAGTCTGCCGCGGCAGCGGGGAATGCCCCGGCCAAGGACGCGTCGGCCGGTGCCCCTCCGGCCAGCTGGACCCCGACCGCGGTGGAGAGCAGCACGGTCCTCGGGCTGATTGGCGCCCGGCCGGCCTGGACCCGGGCCGTGGAGGAGTTTGAGTCGTCCGAGAGCGACAATGCTGCGGGTATGTTCGCACCAGTGCGCCTTGCGGCGCATAGGGTCCCTTCCTCGCGCTCCCCCGGCCTGGACAATAGCTGACCTTCCCGTGGCTTCAGAGCTGGTGTCCTTCCGGAAGTTTGACGACCTCATCCGCACTTCGCTGGCCGGGAAGCTCGGCCAGGCGGCGGTGCTGCATTCGGCCGACCAGCCGGGCTTCCCCCGTCTGGATGCCCTGTTCGCGCCGGCTGGCGCCGCGGCCGGCGAGCCCCTCAGCACGTTTGATTATTCGGCGGCCCTGTTGGCCGGGGTGGCCGGCCTGCGGGCGGCCCTCGGCGATGCTCCCACCGGGCCACCCTCCATCGTGTACACGTGCGAGGTGGACCAGCAGACCGTGCGTCGCCCCTCTTCCTGGCCGGTGTTTTTCCTTCTCATCTGATGTTTTGCCCGGGCATGCGTGTATGGCGGTGTGTGTGAGTCTGTGAGTCTGTGAGTGTGTGTGTGTGTGTGTGTGTGTGTGTGTGAGTCTATGTGTGTGTGTGTGAGTCTATGTGTGTGTGTGTGAGTCTATGTGTGTGTGTGTATGTGAGTCTATGTGTGTATGTGAGTCTATGAGTCTGTATGTGTGTGTGAGTCTATGTGTGTATGTGAGTCTATGAGTCTGTATGTGTGTGTGAGTCTCTGAGTCTATGTGTGTGTGTGTGTGTGTGCATGCTCACTGACAGACATGCTGGCTTGTGACATTTGCCGGCCTCCGCCCGCAGACTGGCCACGTTTCGCTTATGATCGTGCCGGCCAGCCCGGACGAGCCGGTGACCTTCGTGTCGGCCACCTTCATCGGGGCCCTCTTCCCGGTGATCTTTGTCGGTCGGCTGGCCATGGCGGATCTGGCCGCCGGGCTGGTGCTGGACACCCCGGGGGAAGGCCCCCCGGCCGGGCCCGGCTCGCTGTTCCTGGTGTCGCCATCGCTGCGGGCGGCACCGACCGGCAGCGCGGTGGTCCTGCGGGCGCCGGTGGCGGCTGACGCGGCGGCCCTCCGGGCACGCGCCCTGTCAGGCCGGCTCCGGCACTTCTCCGGGCCCGGGTCGGCGCCGTGGAACTTCCTCAAGCACCCGCTCTTCACCGGTGGGGCGCCTCGACCGGCGGCCGATGGGCGCCCAGCGGGCCAGGTCGACCACGCGGATGGTGGCCATGGTGGCCAGGACGATGAGGATGACGGCCCCACCGACGGCGCAGATGAGGACCGCTACTCCACGGCCGGGTATGACCTGCTGCTGCGCGAGCAGCTGGACTTCTATGTGTTCAATCCGCCCATCAGCCCGCCACTCGGGTTTGCGGTGGTCAGCCACGCGGTGGGCATGGCTCTGCTCCGGTGCGCGCACGGCTCGCAGGCGGTCTTCACCATCACCTTCGCCACGGATCCGGCACACTCGTCGCGCCGGCTGCTGGTGGTATCCCGCGGTCGGGACCTCTCGCGCGCCGTGGTGGACGTCATCACCGCTGCCTACCGCGGGACGCCGGCCTCTTCCTAGGGCGCCGGAGCCCCGAGGCAGGGCGGCGCAAGCCTCCTGTCCTCCCCACACAGGGGGGGGGGAGGCGGGGCCTTCGGCCTCCCTCCCCCTCCCTACGGCAACCAATAAAAAAGCCCACCCCCCGGGTGCGGCCTCGCCTGTTGTTTTTGCTGCTTCGCAGGCCGCAGGTGCCATCGAACCGCCCCCGCACGTGGTGTTCGGCCGCGATCGTGCTCGGCTCCGATCGGCCGGTGGGGGATCATATCTCCTGGCCGTGTGTTGTGTGTGTGTGTGTTGTGTGTGTGTGTGTGTGTGTTTGGGCGCGTGCCTGGTGCCGAGAGAAGAGCCGGCATGCGGCCAGTGCCGGGGCCCGTCAATGTGCCGGGCACAAAGACACCCACCACCCGCTGCCGGCCCTCGACTGCCCTCTTTGCCGC